AGGATTATTAACATTATTGATTCCCTCCGACCAAATTCAAATAGCACAAGTAGCTGTTCCTGAAGCTATGACTATCAACTATGAAAAGAATAATTCTCTACCGAGATTAGATGCCTATTCTTCTATTGGGGCAGGCAGTGGCATTGGCCAACATGAAACCAGCATTCAGCTTATTTCTCAATTAATGACTGAATCATCTTTATCCATGGTACTTGATGCTGATGCTTTAAATATAATTGCTAATAATCCTGAATTACTTCATGCAATACCAAAAGAAAGTATATTAACTCCACATCCAAAAGAATTTGAACGACTATTTGGTGAATGTGAAAATTCATACATTCGACATGAATTACAATTACAAAAGTCCATCGAACTCGGTTTGTTTATTTTACTCAAAGGACGATACACTTGCATTACAACACCTGATGGCAAATCCTATTTCAATACAACAGGCAATCCAGGTATGGGTACTGGAGGAAGTGGAGATGTATTAACTGGCATTATCACTGGTTTATATGCTCAATATCATGATATGTTAGAAGCAGGCCTCTTGGGTGTTTATCTTCATGGTTTAGCTGGCGATATAGCAGCACAAAAAAAATCCGAAGAAAGTTTAATTGCTTCGGATATTATTGATCAGTTAGGTCAAGCTTTTAAGGATTCATTTTATAATGCTGAATAATAGCCTTACAACCTTCATTTATTTCATCAAATACATCATAATAGCCATCAAGATTTCCATAATATGGATCTACGACAGAACGATTCTCATCGGGGTACAATTCTTTTAAAAACAATTCAACTTTATCTGGATTAAAATAATGACCACTGATATCCTTAATCTCTTCATACACATCAGAAGCAAGTGCATAAATTTTATCAAATTTTGCTATATCAGCATGGGTAAATTTCCGAGCACGTTGTTTTGATATATCAATACCATTTTCGAGACATACTCGTTGAGAATGCTCATGTGGTGCCTGACCTATGTGATAAGATTCTGTGCCTGCACTGTCTATTTCCCAATCCAATTGCTCAAGACCACAACTATGTTTCATCACACCTTCTGCTATTGGAGAGCGACAAATATTACCCAAACAAACAAATAGTATTTTCATATGATGTTAATTTATACCCAATTGCTTTTTGAAATAATCCAATGTTATTTGTAGTCCTTCTTTACGATCAACTTTCGGTTCCCAACTTAAAATTTCTTTAGCTCGTGTTATATCTGGTTGTCGTTGTTTAGGATCATCTTGCGGAAGAGGATGATAGACTATTTTAGACCCTGTACCAATTAAGAGTTGAATTTCTTCTGCAAAATCTTTCAACGATATTTCATTTGGATTTCCAATATTGACAGGCATATGATAATCACTTAATAATAATCGATAAATACCCTCCACCAAATCACCTACATAACAAAATGAACGAGTTTGTGAGCCATCTCCGAAAACTGTTATATCCTCACCTTTTAATGCTTGACTCATAAATGCTGGTAATGCACGACCATCATCCAGTCGCATACGTGGTCCGTAGGTATTAAATATTCGTACAATACGAGTTTGCAAACCATGAAACGTATGATATGCCATCGTGATTGCTTCTTGGAATCTCTTAGCTTCGTCATACACGCCACGCGGTCCTATTGGATTTACATTTCCCCAATACTCTTCATTTTGAGGATGAACCAAAGGATCGCCATATACTTCAGATGTAGATGCTATGAGCATTCG